CTAATTAGATAGTAAAGGGGAAGTTTTAAGATGGAGATGGCTAGTTAAAAGAGAAAGCATTTCACCAGTGAGGGACAGGTGGGGCTTCTACAAAGGACAGTAAATTGGGAATAGAAAGAGTAATAGGGAGAAGTTTGTGAGCATTCCTTGGGGAAAAATGCTGCAGAGATGAATTACCTAAAGTTATCCCCTGAGAGGAGGGAACTGGACCATAGAAGATGTGCAGAATGTCCCTGAGCCAGGACCTGGAGTGGTGGTCCTTGGTTCTCCTCCTAGCCACTGTGGTATTGGATTTGGCACTGTGAGGTAGCGAAGTGGAAGACAGCCTGAGGCTACTAAAATATAAACCCAACCCCTTTGGATAGCTGAGTGAGGAAGAGGATACTGTGCATTCTGGAGGGAGAGAAGAGCTATGGAGGAGAAACTGATTGGGTATTACTGCTGAAAGGGGTGGTGGCCTCACTGAGCTATTCCCCAAAACCACCAGCAGGTGACCACCACCTTTCCTGTCAGAGCAGGGCACAGAGAGATTCAGGGTGTCTGGTGTCTGTGGGGGAGGGACTTCAGGGAAGGCCATTCAGAGGGATAGGGAGCATGCAGGAGCATCCCATTTAATAACTAAAATTTTGGTGGAGAGCACAGAGAGATGATGTACCACCTGAGAGCTACTATGAGTCATTTATGGAGAGAATTGTCAAAGGTCCCAGAGTGAGTTTCTAGCTAGCACAACAAGGGCTAGAATGCAGCTCTCTAGCCTACTAGAGAAATGCCTTGGGGTGAGGGGTGGGGGCATTCCTTGAGCCTTTGTAATGTGAGCTCATGGCTTTGTACCATAACTGCTCCTGGATGCTAGGAAGCTTGTGAGACCAGGTCCAATGCCCTTTTGTCCCCATAAATAGCTTCCCAACACATTAAAAAAGCAGTGACAAATGCTACTGCTGTGTAATTTAGTTGATGCCCATCATGTCTGTATTTCTGTGGCAACAGATTAGATACAAGTTGTTGGTCAAGCTGTTAGGCTAGATTCACTGTTGGCATAAATGGGCACAAGCTTTATTGTAAAGGGATACACTCCACGGAGTCAAAAGGTAAGAATCCAGCCCAATACACACTCAAGCTATTTGACTGTGTGGAGTGTTTTATAGTCAGTTGTGAGCCTGTAACTTCAGATGCCATCAGTTTGTGTCACACTCCCTACCAGTCTGTGGACTCCCAAGGCAGCAAAGAGTCTCTGGGGTTCTCTTATTGCATCATTCAATTGCTCTGATTTTTCTGCTTACTCAGTATATCTGTCTTCAAACAGGAAGCTGCCATTGCAAGGTGGAGCCTGAAATATACTTCAGCACCCATGGCACTTTAGAGGAGGCAAGGAAACCTGAGTCTTTTGCTGTAAATGTCCGTCACTATAGGGAAGGTGCTGCAAGACTATTTGTGGTTTTTTAAGTTTATTAAGTTAGGGAACGTCTACACAGCAGGGCTAAAGCCAAAATAAGCCCCACAACTTGAGCTACATCAATTGTGTAGCTTAAGTTAAAATAGCTTAATTCCGCTTTTGGTGTTGTCGACATGGCAAGAAGTGCGAGAGAGCACTCTTCCTCTGATCTTTGTTACTCCTTATACAATGAGGGTTACAGGAGTCAGAGTAAGAAATCCTCCAGCTTGACATTACTTTGACATTATGTAGAAATAACTGCTTGTAATGTAGGTGCAGACTATGTTGTTCCAGAATAACATCAGTTATTCCAAGATAACACGGCTGTGTAGATGTACCCTCACAGACTAACACGGCTACCCCTCTGGGACTCTTGAAAGGCACTGAGCATATTCCAATCCCTTGGATGGCCCTAAGAAAAGTCCCCTGACGCCCTTGGAGGGTGCTTTGCCGGAGTAAAGATCTGGGGACTTTGACCCCAAGATGGCTCCAGACTGAAACACCCAGTTCCAGACAGATAATTGTGAAGGCAAAGCTGCAACTCAGGTCACTTTGAAAATGTGCTCCTTTCTGGCTAGATAGATACACTGATCACTTGACTGAAGAGGCTCAATAGAGTTCTGTCCCCTATGGCTCGGGTGGCTGCTTCTCTCCACTGAGCTGAGTAGCTTTTCTTGCCATTTGAGATCTGCTGCTTAGCAGAGCCTGAGGGATGCCATTCGGTTTGTTTTTTCCCTTCTCAAAGGTTGCAGTGAACTGCCATTAATTAGCATTTGTGGATGGAAGGTGTTAGCTAAAGCAAGGGTTATTCTTGCATCTTCTTGTTGCCACAGTAAGATAACTATCACCTTCAAAGTGATTCCCCCTCCTCCCACTTGATGCAGAGTCCTGCCAACCTATGGGGGGCGCCTGATGGCAGCTGGAAGGGGACCCGCGCACCCAGCCGAGCAGTGCTCCTTAGAGCTGCAATCAGGTGCTGTGTGCCCGGGACCGGGGGCTATGCGGCGTCCCTTAGAGCTGCAATCAGGTGCTGTGTGCCCGGGACCGGGGGCTATGCGGCGTCCCTTAGAGCTGCAATCAGGTGCTGTGTGCCCGGGACCGGGGGCTATGCGGCGTCCCTTAGAGCTGCAATCAGGTGCTGTGTGCCCGGGACCGGGGGCTATGCGGCGTCCCTTAGAGCTGCAATCAGGTGCTGTGTGCCCGGGACCAGGGGCCATGCGGTGCCCCTTAGAGCTGCAGTCAGGCTCCATGCGCCCGGGGCCGGAGGCTGCGTTGCGTCATGTGCCCACTGCCCAGGGCAGTCAGGCGCCGCGTGCCCAGGGACGGGGGCCGTGCGGTGCCCCTCAGAGCTGCAATCAGGTGCTGCGTGCCTGGAGCTGGGAGCCGTGTGGTGCTCCTTAGAGCTGCAATCAGGCGCCGCCAAACCAATTGCAGCTGTAAGGTGCGCAGTATGCCGGGGGGGCGGGGCCACACATGCACCGTGTACTCGGGAGCGGAGCTGCGCATGCGTCATGCGCCCGCTGCCCGGGGTGCAGGAATGGCTTGAGCCGGCCCTGTCTACACACACCTTTTTGCAAAAGAGCTCTTTCGCAAAAAGGCTCCTTCCTTGTAGAATGAGGATTACCAATGCTGGAAAATCCCCTCTGTTCTTTCGATTTTCTTGCAGAACACAATTGCAGTGTGGATGTTCCTCAATTTTTATTTTCCAAGAAAACTCTGTAATGTAGACATACCCTGAGTTGGGGCTCCAGAAGAGCCATATCTGGCTCATGAGACACAGGTTGCAGACTCCTGATCTACACCATCATTGATAGATGTTTGTCTAACCTGCTTTGAAAAATCTCCAGTGATGGAGATTCCACAACCTCCCTGGGTAATGTATGCCAGTGTCTAACCACTCTGACTATTAGGGAGTTTTTCCTAATGACCAACCTAGACCTCACTTGCTGCAGTTTAAGCTCATTGTTTCTTGTCCTATCCTCAGCGGTTACAGAGAATATTTTTTCTCCCTCCTCCTAGGAATAACCTTTAGCACAAGATGCTATCATGTGACACTTAAATGCTGAGCAGTAGCAAGGATATCAACAAAGCCTTCACTACTGTATGTCACCAAATTAAACTACCAAAACCATCCACTAGTCTGGCTATGTGACTTCTTATAGTAGCAGAGAATCCTTCACAATCCATTTGCTTCTGCCAGAGTAGGAAGTAAGGACTCAATCTAGCAACGCCATTAAGACTAGTGCTGGCCAAAAGTTGGAATTTTCATTCTGTGGGAAAGTCCAAAATTAAAAAAAAGTTATGGTCGTAAGTGCAAATAGAATTTCAAAATTCATCAGCACCCTCCCTTAAGGGTGGCTCAGTGGTTTGAGTATTAGCCTATTAAACTGAGAGTTGAGCATTCAATCCTTGTGGGGACCATTTAGAGATCTAGGGAAAATCTGTCAGGGATAGTACTTGGTCCTGCTGTGGGAGTGGACTGAATGACATCTCAAGGTCCCTTCCAGCTCTATGAGATAGGTATATCTCCATATTAAAAATTCCCAGCAACAGGGAAAATCTTACAAAATTAGTTTGAAACAAGTGGAACATTTTGTTTAACAAATTTCTAAGTCAAACTGAGCCTGACCTTCCAGCTCAACTGTGTTTCCTAGGGCTTCTAAGACCCCAACTTCCCAACAGGCTCCTCAGGAGCCCTGGCTCCCAGTCTTTCACTTTGTGGCTGGGAGCCTGGAAGCCTTGGAAGCCCCTAAAACCTTGCAGACTTTTTGATCCAGAGCAGAGATCTTGAAGCCATATGACAGTCTGTGTGGTGAAATTGATCAGAGCTGCAGGCCCCCGGCACTGCTGACAGGGGGGAGCAAAGGCAGCAAATGTCCCAAGACCCAGTGATTCAAAAGGGCCCATGGTTCTTGGACACTGCTTCTGCAGCAGCAGTGGCAGTGGCAACCAGAGCCCTCAGCCTTTTAAACCATTGATGGAGCCCCATGCAACATGCTACAGGCAGTGCTGAACTTTGCCTGCCCCATCCCCACCTCTTCTGAGAGCACAGTGCTACAGGCCTCTGAGCAGATGGGTTTCTAATAGAGCACTGCCTGTGTGTGGTTCCTGGTTTTGTGAAACATTTCAAGTTCAACAAATTGGCATTTTCCAGTGAAATAGTTTTGTTGAAAAATCCAGCTCTAGTTCAGTGGAACTAGTCACATGCTTCTATTCTAGTCTATATGGTTCCCATTCCTCAGTCTTCACCATAATCTCTGAACAGTTGCTTAAATTTAAGCATGTGCTTACATGCTTTACTGTATTTAAGCTTTAGGTCTTATGGACACACAAAAGTTTTACCATTTTAATGACACCCTTATAATTAAAGTGGTACAGTCCTTCTAATGTGGACACAGCTATATATCAATAAAACAGTGCATGCTATGTTAGTATATTTTTATATGTATACTGGTATTTCTGTATGGGAAATGCAATCAGTAATAGTGGAACAAGCACTTTCATACTGTTATAACTATATCCACTTGTTGTACCAGTATAATTAATTCATTAAAAATATAAACCAGCCAATGTATAGCAGGACATTTGCTCCCTGTCCTGATTGACACTTGTAATCAACCTCTTGTCCTAAAGATTTTAAAAAATGAAATGCAGAAATTAACTTAAACATTAGATTTTAACAATTTTCACAATAATTAAATATTTGTAGTAGCTTTTTCTCAACACAGATGTTCTCTTTAATTGCTTCAAAGCAGGATTTACATAACTTCAGAGAGTTTGAACATGAAAGTTTGCACCTAACTTTCTCAAAGGTGCTTTACAAATTGTTTTAGAATAGTCACACAGACGAGTTATATGTTCACTGTGCCAAACAGACACAGACAGGAAGGTATTAATAATTTTGTTAAGTTTTTTGTTTTGGGGTTGCAAAGGTTATTTCCTACCCCAATGTATTCTCTTTGATTCACAATTACTTAGATTTGCTATTGAGCTTTCTTTTTTTTCTTTACATTTTTAAAGTTCATTAAAACCCAATTAACAGATATAATCAAATTAAGCTTGAAGGCCCTGCAGACTCAAGGCATCTGTTTATACACAAAATAGGTACAGAACACATAGTATCAATGCAAGCGTCACACACATATGGTCACATGGCCTGTTCAATACTTGGCCTCTCTGCTGTGCCTGTTGACAAAGATGTCAAATAGTGGTAATGTGCATATGGTTGTAGTACTGACCTCTGTGTAATGTAAGTGCTATTGTCATAGTACCCTGCAGTGAGGAGAAGCCAAATATTTTCAAATACTGGTCATTAATGTCTTTAATATCCAGGCTAACGCAGAGTTTAATATTTGCAGAGTTAGGCCCACCAAAAATGTCATAGACATACAGAGATTCATTAGAGGCTGATCTTTACTGATCTTCACCTGGAATGATCATTGACAAAATAGGATTTTCATCCTCTTTTCCCTCACTTGTCTTCAAGGCCATATTGAGTTTATGCCAAAACAACGGAATCTCCTCCTCCTCCTGGGGCCACATGAGGTATGTTTTCTTCTTCACCAGCTTTCTCATTTTGTGATAGGGTGACAGATTATCATTGGGGATATGTTCCAGGAAAATCAGGACCAGGACATCCTTGTGTTCATCGAAGAGGCGAAAGCTAGCTAACTGGATCTCCTTAGAGCACCATTCACTTTCCAGGTAGTGGTGGGTTATGACACAAATGGTCTTCCTGCTGGCATAGATGTTGTCCACAATGTTCTTCAGAATACACTTCCCTGGTTCAAAGTCACGGTGGTGCAGACACAGCCTCCAGTGGTACTTGTCTTCCAGTGTGGGAAGGAGCTCATTCATCACCCACTCCTTGTCTTGCGTGTTGTAAGAGACAAACGCATCGTAGTCATATTTTTTATGTCGTCCCGTCCTTTTGTATCTCTTGTCATGAATATAGGCAAGTAGCAGGTGATAAGTATAAATCCCCTGTTTCTTCCAGCGATAACAGATGCAGACTACCATCAACAAAATAACTGCAGCTGTATTTGCGACAAACAGGATAAACTCATGGTCAACTGTGCAGGAGGAGTTGTGGAAGGCCCACAGTTTCCTTCCTTTACTGGCAAGTGGGAAAGCACAGGTGTACTGGTAGAAATAGAGCACTTGAGTTTCTAAGTCATGAAGAGACCAATTGATGAACATTTGATTATCACAAGAACAAGTGAAAGGATTTTGTCTAAGATCCAAAAAAGTAAGGTAAGGTAAAGCCCTTATGTGCTTAGGTTCAATTACATTTAGTTGGTTTTCAGACACTCTGAGCATGACCAGCTTAGAAAAGTTTATGTGGAGAACAAAATCAAGGGACTGCAGCCCTATTTTATGGAGATGTAGTTCTGTCAGCTTCGGTATAGGCCGGAACAGAGCTGGGCTAATGGGATTGAGGGGATTGCTGCTCAAATCCAGTTCTTTGAGTGTAGGTGCATAACTGAAGGTGGCTGGGTCCAAGTCAGAGATGACCAAATTGCCTGCTTGTATTTTCACTATTGATTCCAACCCTTGCAAGAAGTTAGATGGGAAATGCTGAAGTCCACTCTTGCGTTGGCTATTCAGCGAGAGGTATTTTACGGACCGCAAGAGAATGAAGGGAGGATTGTCAAGTTTTTCAGATGTCTCATAGGAGATGTAATTTTCAAAAAGCTGAAGGTCCACCAATGAGCTTAGTCCCTGGAAAATGCCTTTCTGGAAAGTTTCCTTGGTGATCTTATTTGTGCTAAGGAACAGTGTCTGGAGGTGGCTCAGACCTTCAAAGGCTCCAGGTTCTATTGTGCTAATTTGGTTGTCTATCAGGCTCAGAAACTGCAGAGAAGTCAAATTCCTAAAAGTTCCTTTTTTGAGGGCGCTCATCTTATTACTGTTTAGTTCCATTTTTTCTAGCTTCCCTAAACTATCTGAAAAAGGTTGTGAGATTTCCAAAAGGAAGTTCATTCCTAAATTTAATTCCAATAAATTATGTAGATCTGGAAACAAATCTGAGCTGATCTGAGTGATCCTATTTCCAGTTAGATTGAGGTGCTGCAGGCTCCTTAGATTGGCAAAGTCTTTTGGGACAATTTTCTTAATTTGATTAAAGCTTAGATCCAGACTTTTCAGTGAGATTATATTCGAAGTTGCATTTGGTACGTCAGAGAACTCATTCTTTGCCAAGGAAAGACTCTGTAAAGAATTCAAGGAATGAAAAGATATATATGGCACCACTTTTAATCTGTTGTGTGTTAGATCCAAATTCCATAGATGACTGCAGTTTTCAAAGACAATTCCTTTAATGCTTTTGAATTTATTGCCTTGTAAGTTAAGAGTCTTAACATTTTGGTGCCAAAGGCATACCTTTTCTATGAGATTGTCAGAATCAGTCAAGTTCAGTTCATTTAGGTGAATCTCTTCTAGCAAGGAGCAATTCAGTTTTTGGACCACATCCAATATGTCTAGTGGTGTCATAACTGTTCCTCCTAAATATAATCTCTTTAACCCTTTCAGAAAACAAGGGTCTTGTATAATCCATGTAGTGTGGTTATGGGTGCCAGAGAAAGATAAATCCAATGAAAGAAGTCTATACAAAGCATCAGTTGCAACATTCATAAAAGAGATTGGATTATGGGATACATCCAGTTCACGAAGCCACAAGGGCACATTAACAATATCTTTGGTTGTGAAATGTATTATCTCGTTCTCTCTTATGTGCAGCTCTTCCAAAGATTTTACCTTAAACACAACATCCAAGGCATTGAGAGAATGTAGCTTGTTTGATGTTAAATCAATTACCTTTAACTTCATTAGATGAGCAAAGGCAGATGGCTCAATCCTATCAATATTATTTTCCCTAAGTAGCAAGACTGTGAGGCTCCCCAGTCCATCAAACATAAAGCTGGAAAGAGCTCTCAGCTGGTTTGAAGTGAGGTTCAAGATTTCAATGCTGCTTGTTTGAGCAAAAGTGCCATCTTCAATTAAATGAATTTGGTTCTGAGAAACATTCAAGACTTGCAACAGACTCAGTTTCCTGAAATTATTCTGCCTCAGGCTTGCAATTTGATTCTCGGACAGATCTAAGATGCTTACATTCCAGGGAAGATAACTTGGGACTTCAGACAAGTTCTGGCGATAGCACAGTACCTTCATCCTTTTGCTCCTCTTTCCATGGATCGTGCAGTTCTGCAGACAGTAAGGAACAACTTCTTGGCATTGGCTGAAGAAAATCAAGGCAGAAAAAAGCTGCAGGAAAAACATCTCTCTAACTCCTGAGTGCTAGTTGTTGTAGTGAGAAGAGACTGGAAAATGAAATTAGTTCTCTTGTGTAATCACAGAAATGAGGAAGAGAAAATCCTTGTGTTGCACATCACAATTAATAAAATATTGAGGTCTCTGTTTTCAGAAGAGCTGGAGTTAATTGCTTTAAGTCTCATCCTACTGACACCTTTAAAAGTCAAGTTTCAAAGGAAGGTGCAGTGGGTATGAGAACACCTGTTTGGGCCTGCATAGAACACTAAGGCAGGTACACAATGGGTAAATGTGCGGAAAGGGTTCTAATTTAATTTAAGGTCTTTACCAGGCCTGGATTTTGCAATTTAGGTCAGTCAAGGCATGTGAACACTTATGCCGGGCATCAACATTCGGGCATTCAATTTAGCGGGTCTGATTTAGACCCATAAATCAAATGCTGAAGGCAGCTCCAGCAAGTGCTTATACTCACTGCAGTCATGAGGAGTAAGGGAAGCCAATGAGAACATTTGCTTCCATCGGCCTCCCACTGTGTGGACAGCGCCAAGCTCAGCTTAAGGTAAGTTAACTCCAGCTACATATGTGCCCTGCTGTGTTAGTTTCCCAACAGATGTCTGGATAGTTCCCCATCAGCACCAAGTCCTGTGCTTTGGAAATTCAATGGGGTGTTGCCCTGCATCACATGAGAATCAGCTTTTTTGAAAAGTACATTTCTAGCCACTCTGGTTGCAGAGAAATGTTGGAACGTGTGACCCTTAAAAGAGCAAACACCAGAAGCCCAATAAAAAGAATCCCAAATGTATTATTTGAAACAGCATGATTTTTAAGCTAATCTCATGATTTTTGAATGCTTGGGATTGATGTTAGAATGAGTGAGATGGGGTTTGCTCTTCACACCATCTCTGCAAGAGCTGATCAGGACCAGGTGGGTCCAATCAGCTAATTAGATAGTAAAGGGGAAGTTTTAAGATGGAGATGGCTAGTTAAAAGAGAAAGCATTTCACCAGTGAGGGACAGGTGGGGCTTCTACAAAGGACAGTAAATTGGGAATAGAAAGAGTAATAGGGAGAAGTTTGTGAGCATTCCTTGGGGAAAAATGCTGCAGAGATGAATTACCTAAAGTTATCCCCTGAGAGGAGGGAACTGGACCATAGAAGATGTGCAGAATGTCCCTGAGCCAGGACCTGGAGTGGTGGTCCTTGGTTCTCCTCCTAGCCACTGTGGTATTGGATTTGGCACTGTGAGGTAGCGAAGTGGAAGACAGCCTGAGGCTACTAAAATATAAACCCAACCCCTTTGGATAGCTGAGTGAGGAAGAGGATACTGTGCATTCTGGAGGGAGAGAAGAGCTATGGAGGAGAAACTGATTGGGTATTACTGCTGAAAGGGGTGGTGGCCTCACTGAGCTATTCCCCAAAACCACCAGCAGGTGACCACCACCTTTCCTGTCAGAGCAGGGCACAGAGAGATTCAGGGTGTCTGGTGTCTGTGGGGGAGGGACTTCAGGGAAGGCCATTCAGAGGGATAGGGAGCATGCAGGAGCATCCCATTTAATAACTAAAATTTTGGTGGAGAGCACAGAGAGATGATGTACCACCTGAGAGCTACTATGAGTCATTTATGGAGAGAATTGTCAAAGGTCCCAGAGTGAGTTTCTAGCTAGCACAACAAGGGCTAGAATGCAGCTCTCTAGCCTACTAGAGAAATGCCTTGGGGTGAGGGGTGGGGGCATTCCTTGAGCCTTTGTAATGTGAGCTCATGGCTTTGTACCATAACTGCTCCTGGATGCTAGGAAGCTTGTGAGACCAGGTCCAATGCCCTTTTGTCCCCATAAATAGCTTCCCAACACATTAAAAAAGCAGTGACAAATGCTACTGCTGTGTAATTTAGTTGATGCCCATCATGTCTGTATTTCTGTGGCAACAGATTAGATACAAGTTGTTGGTCAAGCTGTTAGGCTAGATTCACTGTTGGCATAAATGGGCACAAGCTTTATTGTAAAGGGATACACTCCACGGAGTCAAAAGGTAAGAATCCAGCCCAATACACACTCAAGCTATTTGACTGTGTGGAGTGTTTTATAGTCAGTTGTGAGCCTGTAACTTCAGATGCCATCAGTTTGTGTCACACTCCCTACCAGTCTGTGGACTCCCAAGGCAGCAAAGAGTCTCTGGGGTTCTCTTATTGCATCATTCAATTGCTCTGATTTTTCTGCTTACTCAGTATATCTGTCTTCAAACAGGAAGCTGCCATTGCAAGGTGGAGCCTGAAATATACTTCAGCACCCATGGCACTTTAGAGGAGGCAAGGAAACCTGAGTCTTTTGCTGTAAATGTCCGTCACTATAGGGAAGGTGCTGCAAGACTATTTGTGGTTTTTTAAGTTTATTAAGTTAGGGAACGTCTACACAGCAGGGCTAAAGCCAAAATAAGCCCCACAACTTGAGCTACATCAATTGTGTAGCTTAAGTTAAAATAGCTTAATTCCGCTTTTGGTGTTGTCGACATGGCAAGAAGTGCGAGAGAGCACTCTTCCTCTGATCTTTGTTACTCCTTATACAATGAGGGTTACAGGAGTCAGAGTAAGAAATCCTCCAGCTTGACATTACTTTGACATTATGTAGAAATAACTGCTTGTAATGTAGGTGCAGACTATGTTGTTCCAGAATAACATCAGTTATTCCAAGATAACACGGCTGTGTAGATGTACCCTCACAGACTAACACGGCTACCCCTCTGGGACTCTTGAAAGGCACTGAGCATATTCCAATCCCTTGGATGGCCCTAAGAAAAGTCCCCTGACGCCCTTGGAGGGTGCTTTGCCGGAGTAAAGATCTGGGGACTTTGACCCCAAGATGGCTCCAGACTGAAACACCCAGTTCCAGACAGATAATTGTGAAGGCAAAGCTGCAACTCAGGTCACTTTGAAAATGTGCTCCTTTCTGGCTAGATAGATACACTGATCACTTGACTGAAGAGGCTCAATAGAGTTCTGTCCCCTATGGCTCGGGTGGCTGCTTCTCTCCACTGAGCTGAGTAGCTTTTCTTGCCATTTGAGATCTGCTGCTTAGCAGAGCCTGAGGGATGCCATTCGGTTTGTTTTTTCCCTTCTCAAAGGTTGCAGTGAACTGCCATTAATTAGCATTTGTGGATGGAAGGTGTTAGCTAAAGCAAGGGTTATTCTTGCATCTTCTTGTTGCCACAGTAAGATAACTATCACCTTCAAAGTGATTCCCCCTCCTCCCACTTGATGCAGAGTCCTGTTCCTTCCTAGTGTTTGCAATGCATGGTTCCCCCTTTCTAGCTCTGAGTCCAGGGTTTGAGTGATAGGTTGAAAGGATGCAAGCTGCATTAATCTGGCACTTTTCACATCAAGGTCTTCTAGGGATTCCTTTGGAGTGGGGCTTGTCATGGCCACAGCTCTGTAGACTTTCAAAAGTAGAGACCTAAGCTGGACTTGTAAATTTCTGCTATTCAGAGCTGTTGAGCACCCAGTAGCTACCATTTGGCTGCAAGGGAAGCTGGCAGATGTCAAACAACACCTTACAATAGTAGGCCACTTGTATATGTTCCTAAATATAAGCTGGGGAGTAAAACCCATTTTGTCGAATCCTTCTTAGTCCCAGAGCAAACACAACACAGGCAGTGTCAGAGCCTGAACACTAACCAGGAGGAACCAGCACTTGGGGTGAAAGGGCACTTCAGTTTGCCATCACAGCTGGCAGAAATGGTCTTGTGCAAGGGACACTTCTCCATTAGTCTTTGCACTAAGATTAACATTTTTTTTTCAGTGGTTTCTCAATGCTCAGAGAGAGGCTATTTTTACAGCCACACCCCAGCCCCCACAGCTATCTGTCCCACAGACTGCAGAGTTTCTTTTTTTGAGTTCCTTTCTGGAATTATGATTCATTCTTTGCATTGGGTTTAGATATCATAGGATTTGATTCCTGATAGAAAGTCTATTGAACAAACTACTAGGCCACGCCCGCGGAGGCATTTGTGTGCGCCCGCCAAGTGCGCACACAAATGCGCTCAGTCCCTTTAGCTATCCTGGACTCCTTGGGCTTCCTTTTGCCCTATAGAAGAAGGGGCCAAAGTACTGGAAATGCTTGGCTTATGTATTTCTTGGAAAGTATCCAAGGAGAGTGCAGGTGAATACAGAACTGGAGCTTTCTTAGGAAAGGATTAGAATGCGACCTAAGGACTTCAAAATGGAAACCTAATTTCCAGGGTCACTTCTTCTGAACTTGGTGGGTATGCCATATCTCTCCTGACCTGCCAGCAATGGTCCCTCAAATGTGGATTCTCATTGCCTGACTGGTCTCATTGGAGTTACTTATATGATTTGAGGAGGAAGGTTTGGGCCATATGACATAAAAGATAATTTTCTCTACTAGCCATAGGCTATGAGGTCTATGATATGACTCGTTCTGTCACAGTAATTGAGTCATTCTTCATACGCCCATAGATCATAAAGGAAACTTCACTAGCTTTAAAGAATTCAAACTGGTTGGTTTGTTCAATGCTTTGAATATATGATGTTTCGGCAAGTGCTGTTAACAGCACACTGCTTAAAAGTTGCAAATAACTCTGAAAAGTTCTTAAAATAACAATTTTCTCTTAATTTTTCCTATGTAAGTCACCCTTGTGCACATCATGTAATAAGATGGGGCCAGATCTGCCATGGGATAAATCAACCTTCTTTCATAGAAGCCAATGGGCTACGTTTACACTGCCAGTTTTGCCGCAGTGAGCATGCAAATGAGGCGCAGATTAGCATATTGCTATGCCTCATTTGCATAATTTATGCGCGTTGGTTTTAAGCAACAGGTTTTTGAGGGAAAAAAAAAGTAGTGTGGACATTTTCTTTTTGCGCAAAACCTTTTTTCCTGCCAGATCAGTAAACCTCCTTTTTTGGGGCATAAGGATCTGGCAGGAAAAAGGGTTTTGTGCAAAAAGAAAATGTCCACATTACTTTTTTTCCCACAAAAATCTGTTAAGCAAAACCAGCTTGCACAAATTATGCAAATGAGGCACAACGATATGCTAATCCATG